ATGCTTCGTTTGTAAATTATGTCTGAGTGTTGGAGTGTGCCCCTGGCTGTCCGTACATTTAAAAAAACAAGAAAATAAGGAATTTGAAATGGTTTACATTTGAGCAATTCCATTTACTTTTAATACTTAAATATATTTAAAACCAAATACTTTTATCCTTTTACTCAAATAGTATTTTATTGGGTGACTTTCACTTTTACTTGAGTCATTTTCTATTAAGGTATCTTTACTTTTACTCAAATATGACAATTGAGTACTTTTTCCACCACTGATTGTCATGCTGAAACAGGAAAATGCCTTCCCCAAACTGTTGCCACAAAGTTGGAAGCACAGAATCATCTAGAATGTAATTGTATGCTGTAGCGTTAAGATTTCCCATCACTGGAACTAAGGGGCCTATCCCGAACCATGAAAAACAGCCCCAGACCATTATTCTTCCTCCACCAAACTTTACAGTTGGCACTATGCATTGGGGCAGGTAGCGTTCTCCTGGCATCCGCCAAACCCAGATTTGTCCGTCGGACTGCCAGATGGTGAAGCGTGATTCATCACTCCAGAGAACTGGTTTCCACTGTTCCAGAGTCCAATGGCAGGAAGCTTTACACCACTCCAGCCGATGCTTGGCATTGCGCATGTTGATCTTAAGCTTGTGTGCGGCTGCTCGGCCATGGAAACCCATTTCATGAAGCTCCCGACGAACAGTTATTGTGCTGACGTTGCTTCCAGAGGCAGTTTGGAACTCGGTAGTGAGTGTTGCAACCGAGGACAGACTATTTTTACGCACTATGCGCTTCAGCACTCAGCGGCCCCGTTCTGTGAGCTTGTGTGGCCTACCACTTAGTGGCTGAGCCGTTGTTGCTCCTAGACGTTTCCACTTCACAATAACAGAACTTACATTTGACCGGGGAAGCTCTAGTAGGGCAGAAATGTGACAATCTGACTTGCTGGAAAGATGATATCCTATGACGGTGCCACATTGAAAGACACTGAGCTCTTCAGTAAGGCTATTCTACTGCCAATGTTTGTCTATGTAGATTGTATGTCTGTGTGCTCGATTGTATACACCTGTCAGCAACGGGTGTGGCTGAAATAGCAGAATCCACTGATTTGAAGGGGTGTCCACATACTTCTGTATATATAGTGTATCTGCTGATATACTGTTTTACAGCAGGGAAATTAAAAAGTGTAATTTTTCCACGAGTTCTCATAAATTGCCATCCCAAAGAGCAACTGTCCAATAAATATGCTTCAGATGTTGATTTCTTACATTGTGACAATAATGACATCATGAAAATGGGCGCAAATGTTCAGATAAGCATGAGATTCCCTTTTTTCATCCTATTTATTGAATATCGGTTATTGGTGGAATTATCGGCCGATACCGATATAACGGTGAAAGGCCAATATCTGCCGATAATATCGGTGAACTGATATACCTGTCAGGTTCTAAATTGGACAAAAAATTGTTGATCATTCTTTTACGTCACCACTCTATCCAAGGTCAAGCCAAATGACTTGAACTCACATACAGAGATATGCATTGTTTGGGCCTTAGTACTGTAGTAAAAATGCCCTTACATCTGAGGTCCAAGTTTTGTAGGGTCCAAAAATTTCTATTCTTTATGGGATCAGATGGTGGTAAAAAGCAGGAAGTATAAACACGACATCAGGAAAGGGTCACTGCCAGTCAGTTTTCAGGTTGTGATTTGCACTAAACAGACAGATTTGTATTCTGCTATAATCTGATATTCATTTACAACCGGCAATGAGGCAGAGGAACAGGTTTCTTTGTTTGGGACATCCACATTGCTTCTCTCAGACTTTCACTCAGTGTACAAGGCCTAGCAGAAAATGCAGTGGATTCTGTATTGAATATTGTATTAGATGTTTAAGGTTATGTGTATTCTGCCAGTTGGAAGCCAACAGCATGCCACAGTCTAAATGTTTCATACAGTAGGCCTTGTAGTTAGTAGCCGCAAAACAAACAGTATGATTGTCAATATCCTATAACTTTATTGTTTACTCACTGCAAAGCTTCAGTTTTCACAGATTTCCTTTCAATATGCATTAGGCTATCTCCAGGAAGTTGTTACTAAAACATTGAGCTCCCATAAAACAGGATTAGTAGGTACAGTTGAAGTCGGAAGTTTACATACACCTTAGCCAAATACATTTAAACTCAGTTTTTCACAATTCCTGACATTTAATCCTAGTAAAAATTCCCTGTTTTAGGTCAGTTAGGATTACCACTTTATTTTAAGAATGTGAAATGTCAGAATAATAGTAGAGAGAATGATTTATTTCAGCTTTGATTTCTTACATCACATTCCCAGTGGGTCAGAAGTTTACATACACTCAATTAGTATTTGGTAGCATTGTGTTTAAATTGTTTAACTTGGGTCAAACGTTTCGGGTAGCCTTCCACAAGCTTCCCACAATAAGTTGGGTGAATTTTGGCCCATTCCTCCTGACAGAGCTGGTGTAACTGAGTCAGGTTTGTAGGCCTCCTTGCTCGCACACGCTTTTTCAGTTCTGCCCACACATTTTCTATAGGATTGAGGTCAGGGTTTTGTGATGGCCACTCCAATACCTTGACTTTGTTGTCCTTAAGCCATTTTGCCACAACTTTGGAAGTATGCTTGGGGTCATTGTCCATTTGGAAGACCCATTTGCGGCCAAGCTTTAACTTCCTGACTGATGTCTTGAGATGTTGCTTCAATATATCCACATAATTTTCCTTCCTCATGATGCCATCTATTTTGTGAAGTGCACCAGTCCCTCCTGCAGCGAAGCACCCCCACAGCATGATGCTGCCACCCCCGTGCTTCACGGTTGGGATGGTGTTCTTAGGCTTGCAAGCAACCCCCTTTTTCCTCCAAACATAATGATGGTCATTATGGCCAAACAGTTCTATTTATTTTTCATCAGACCAGAGGACATTTCTCCAAAAAGTATGATCTTTGTCCCCATGTGCAGTTGCAAACCATTGTCTGGCTTTTTTATGGTGGTTTTGGAGCAGTGGCTTCTTCCTTGCTGAGCGGCCTTTCAGGTTATGTCGATATAGGACTCATTTTACTGTGGATATAGATACTTTTGTATCTGTTTCCTCCAGCATCTTCACAAGGTCCTTTGCTGTTCTGGGTTTGATTTGCACTTTTCACACCAAAGTACGTTCGTCAACTTAGTGTATGTACATTTCTGTACATTGTGATACAGTGAATTATAAGTGAAATAATCTGTCTGTAAACAATTGGTGGAAAAATTACTAGTGCCATGCTCAAAGTAGATGTCCTAACCGACTTGCTAAAACTATAGTTTGTTAACAAGACATTTGTGGAGTGGTTGAAAAACGAGTTTTAATGACTCCAACCTAAGTGTATGTAAACTTCCGACTTCAACTGTATATAGGATGTAAAGGTCTCATCCGATAATAGTTGATAGAGAATATACTAAAAGTAAATTAAGCACGATTCATTTATTTTATATTTAGGGCTTCTTAGATTATACCACAGTGTGAGACATTGTAGGCCATGGACCTAATGAACAGGCCTACATTGTAATGTAAATTCACTAAGCCATAGTTACTGACTTCATTGTAGACATGAGTGCTTTGCTTGCTTCCAATCAGTGATTGTTGTAATGGCCAACTAGACTTGGCCTGATACTCTATCCTATAGCAGCCTAATTGAAATGAACAAAATAAACATCATGCTCAACTGCATATTCCTTAGACAGAAGTGCAATGTTCAACAGGTGCTGTATCTTTAATTTGTCATTTTATGAAGGCATTTTATTCAGGGATTTTGATTGGTTTATTGTGAGGAGTCCATGAGACCAAGAGCAATATCTCTTAGAAATGTTTGGCTTGCTAAGTAGGATATAAACCAAACAAAGGTAATTGCATACTGTGATAAGGGGAATATTGCCCATTTTGAGTAGGGCTGTGACGATATCTGTATCGCAAAAATTTTTCCATGGCAAAAATGAAAACACAAAGCAGACCCTACTCTGTGGTCCTTTAAAACCCTGCTGTAAATAAATAAATGTGACTCTGGATGACAACAGTATGATCTTTGTTTCCAACATAAGGGCTGTTTTCCTAAAGAAGTTAAATCTGCTTCGTGTTTTGGTTCCTTGGCACGATACTAACGTGCAACGCGATACTGGTTTTGTCCCGGCCCTAGTTGTGAGTGACCATGACACGCAGGGTTTCAGTGGAAAATGTCTGATGGAATATATTTGGGGGATCGCTTTCAAAATTCACTGCTCTGCTTTGAGCCTACTCTCTCCATCTTTGAATTCAAATTCATACTGTCCCTTCTTTTTCGTTTGAGGCTACCTTTCTTTTAAGGGTGCGTAAACCATCAAATTTGCCATAAATACATTGACTTATGCAATGTAGAGATATGAAGAGAGGAACGATGAAAGATGTACAGTATATCTTAATAGATCTCTTTTACCATCTCTTGCTCTCTGTTTTTCTCCATTGGCCAACTCTTCTCCATTGGCCAAGAGTTGCCCTAGTGTTCCAGGAAGTGACTCTAAGCAATGTCATTCCCGTAACCCAGTCATCATCATAACCCAGTCATCACCACCAAAACTCTCCAGTGTCTGTACAGATTGTACGACCTGCTTCAAGGTCTTATTATTTTTGCTCCATTTCAAGCTGAAGACTGTCGCTCATTAACTCACTGAGTTGCATACTAACAAAGGCCGCTCTCGCTGCATAGCAACAACCCCCCCCCCCCAACAAACCCTCAAACTCAGTCACGTAATTCTCTCCATAGACTCTCACACACAGTAGAGCTCTTTTGAATATCAATGCAAAATGCCATTACCGAGAGACGTTTTCCCTACTTATTCAATCTGATCTGACTAACAACACCATCACACACTGCTATCAGGTTTTTGTGTTAATGTGCAGTCATTGTAAATACCTTCAGAAAATATAGTTAAATTCTGTTATTGAACCATTATCTCTCTGCCTTTTCTTTTCAGGGGAACCTGCTCAGTATGACCCCACCTTCAATGGACCCATTCGAAAAAGGTAGCCTCTTCCAGTATCTCTCTCTCACTCATGCTCTCTACAAAGTCTACAGAGCCTAGCCCTAACTACCACTCTATCTCTGTGTGCAAATTGTCCATTGTATGTCTCAAGTGCCTTTCGTAGGCATACTTTCTGTCACATATTTTTCAGCCTGGGGGCATCTATGCCACAGCAATGCTCAAAATCACTATTTGTGTTATTGTCTCTCCATTCTCCCTCAGAGGCTGCACTGACATAATCTGCTGTATTCTCTTCATTGTCGTCATCCTTGGCTACATGGCGGTGGGGATTTTGGGTAAGATGGGCCTTCTACGCACCTCCCACCTCTCTCTCAGACCCTCTCTCACTTTCTCTCACACACACTTACGCATTCCGTATTGTGTTGCTTTTTCTTCTCTCTCACTCAGTCGCTTTCTTTCTCTCTCTCTCTCTCTCTCTCTCTCTCTCTCTCTCTCTCTCTCTCTCTCTCTCTCTCTCTCTCTCTCTCTCTCTCTCTCTCTCTCTCTCTCTCTCTTTCTCTCTCTTTCTCTCTCACTATTAGATGACGTCCGATTGCTGGCGTTATCTCTTTCTGCCTGTCAATCTCTCTTTATGACTCTTACATCCCTTTTGAAACTCTGGTGTCCTCGCCATAATGCCCTATGTAAATGTAGTATTAGCAGGCAGAACGCACAGTCCGGCCATGATGGCTAAACAAAACAACAGTGACATAATCGCCCTGGTCCCTTCCTCAATTCCAACAGCTCGTCAAAACGCCACTCACAAGTGAGAACAGCACCTCCATTATCGAGAGTGCACTGAAAACATAAGCTTGTCATTGATTCTATGATTTTCTGGCTTTTCCCCTCTTCAAAGTCTATGCCCTCACCCTTCTCTAGTATTATAAGGCATCTCTATAGCCTTGATATTCTCCTCCTTTTTGTCTTTCGGTCGAAAGGCCTCCCTCTCCGCTGACTCCCACCCAGAGTGGTTCCAAAGAGCAGTTCCAAAGCAGAAGCTCACCCTTACCCACGACATCCATGACCTGTCATCAAACACATTCCAGCAGGAACTCACTCTGCCTTTTCTAAAGTCAATAGAGCTGCCTGATAAGAAAGGAGGTCAAATGAATATATTGCCAATGTCAATAGCTTATTATGTGATTAATGTGATAGGTTATTGTTCATTGACCGGATATAGAGTAGGCCTTTTATTGAAAGGAGGCAGGTGGTGGTTTAGTACATAAAACAACCAAAACCAAATGAAGTAATTGATGTACAGTGCATTCGTAAAGTATTCAGACCCCTTGACTTTTTCCACATTTTGTTATGTTACAGCCTTATTCTAAAATGGATTCAATTGTTTTTTCCCCTCATCAATCTATGACTGGAACGAATTGCAAAAATCTCTGAAGCTGGAGACTCTTATCTCCCTCACTAACTTTAAGCATCAGTTGTCAGAGCACCTTACCGATCACTGCACCTGTACACAGCCCATCTGAAATTAGCCCACCCAACTACCTCATCCCCATATTGTTATTTATTTTGCTCATTTGCACCCCAGTATCTCTATTTGCACATCATCTCTTGCACATCTATCATTCCAGTGTTAATACTAATTGTAATTATTTTGCACTATAGCCTATTTATTGCCTTACCTCCGTAACTTGCTACATTTGCACACACTGTATATATATTTTCTGTTGTATTTTTGACTTTATGTTTTGTTTTACCCCATATGTAACTCTGTGTTGTTGTTTTTATCGCACTGCTTTGCTTTATCTTGGCCAGGTCGCAGTTGTAAATGAGAACTTGTTCTCAACTGGCTTACCTGGTTAAATAAAGGTGAAATAAAAAATAAATAAAAAACGCACAATACCCCATAATGACAAAGCAAAAACAGGTTTATTTATTAAAAATTAAAAACTGAAATATGACATTTACATAAGTATTCAGACCCTTTACTCAGTACTTTGTTGAAGCACCTTTGGCAGCGATTACAGCCTTGAGTCTTCTTGGGGATGGCACTACAAGCTTGGCACACCTGTATTTGGGGAGTTTCTCCCATTCTTCTCTGCAGATCCTCTCAAGCTCTGTCAGGTTGGATGGGAAGCGTTGCTGCACAGCTATTTTCAGGTCTTTCCAGAGATGTTCGATCGGGTTCAAGTCCGGGCTCTGACTGTGCCACTCAAGGACATTCAGAGACTTGTCCCTAAGCAACTCCTGCGTTGTCTTGGCTGTGTGCTTAGGGTCGTTGTCCTGTTGGAAGGTGAACCTTCGTCCCAGTCTGAGGTCCTGAGCGTTCTGGAGCAGGTTTTCATCAAGGATCTCTCTGTACTTTGATGCTGCCACCACCATGCTTCACTGTAGGGATGGTGCCAGGTTTCCTCCAGATGTGACGCTTGGCATTCAGGCCAAAGAGTTCAAACTTGGTTTCATCAGACCAGAGAATCTTGTTTCTCATGGTCTGAGAGTCCTTTAGGTGCCTTTTGGCAAACTCCAAGCGGGCTGTCATGTGCCTTTTACTGAGGAGTGGCTTCTATCTGGCCACTCTACCATAAAGGCCTGATTGGTGGAGTGCTGCAGAGATGGTTGTCCTTCTGGAAGGTTATTCCATCTCCACAGAGGAACTCTGGAGCTCTGTCAGAGTGACCATCGGGTTCTTGGTCACCTCCCTGACCAAGGCCCTTCTCCCCCGATTGCTCAGTTTGGCAGAGCGGCCAGCTCTAAGAAGAGTCTTGGTGGTTCCAAACTTCTTCCATATAACAATGATGGAGTCCACTGTGTTCTTGGGGACCTTCAATGCTGCAGAACATTTTTTGGTAACCTTCCCCAGATCTGTGCCTCGGCACAATCCTGTCTCGGAGTTCTACGGACAATTCCTTCGACCTCATGTCTTGGTTTTTGCTCTGACATGCACTGTCAACTGTGGGACCTTATATAGACAGCTGTGTGCTTTTCCAAATCATGTCCAATTAATTGAATTTACCACAGGTGGACTCCAATCAAGTTGTAGAAACATCTCAAGGATGATCAATGGAAACAGGATGCACCTGAGCTAAATGTCGAGTCTCATAGCAAAGGGTCTGAATACTTATGTAAATAAGGTATTTCTGTTTTTCACCTTTAATACATTTGCAAAAATTTCTAAAAACCTGTTTTCGCTTTGTCATTATGGGGTATTGTATGTAGCTTGATGAGGGAAAAAAAACGATTTAATCAATTTTTAGAATAACGCTGTAAAGTAACAAAATGTGGAAAAGGGGAAGGGGTCTGAATACTTTCCGAATGCACTGTAAATGAGCTTTGTATGTTCATTTAGTTGCCTTTGACAAATGTATGAGTCATTTTCTCTTGTATTCTTTGACTGTGGTAAATGTATTGGTGTCCCCATCTCTCTGTTAGATGTTGATGTGTTTTGTTTTTATATTTCCACCAGCATGGCTTTATGGTGATCCCCGGCACGTCCTCTACCCACGGAACTCTACCGGAATGTTCTGTGGCATCGGGGTGAATGAGTAAGGACCTCTCTGGTGTCCATGATGTGTTTGAACTTGAAATCCTTTATGAACCATCAACTATTATTTTACTCAGAAGTTCAGAAGACTTGAGGCTATGTCATGTGAATTTACTAATCATGCATTTTTGCCATAAATGCAACAGATAAAAGCAGAAAATCTGGCCAATCCAGTCAGACATGTCATCTGGGTTAATAATTCAATCTTGGCATGCCTCACTATACAGTATGTCGAACTGTCATATTATATTTTTCATTCACAATGCATAGTTTGCATTGTACTCACAGAATCCTCACTGTTAACTTTTCCTTTCCCAGAGCTCAACCCAGTGTGTTCTACTTTGACATACTGAAATGTGCCACATCAATCAACATCATGGCCGCCAGCCTTAATGGGTTACAGTGCCCCACCACACAGGTACAGTAACATTACACTATAATGTCCTAGTTTCTCTAAAGGCTGATGTCAGGAGTAATAAGGAACTCTGTGCTCATCTACAATTTACAGTGTGTGTGTGTGAGTGTGTGTTCCTGGGTCAAATTGTATTTATATGTAATGTCTTCACCAAGCCGTTCATACAAGTTCTCTTCTATTTCATTTTCATTTGTGTGAGGCCTTTTTCTCATGGTCTCTACGTCCCAAAATGTCATGTGTATCTACATATCTGGGACAGGCATCACGTTTCAGTCACAAAGTGAAGACCTCTTCATTCCTCACCCTGCAGGTCTGTGTGGAAACGTGCCCAGATGTGTTCTGGGCTCTGAATCCTATTGCCTACTTACCGAAAGCCAAGCCACAAGACTACTTCAACCAATCACTCTGCGTGCCATCCTTTGACCTAGCAAGAACTACACTGGTAAGTCCCATCCATTTACAGTGCCTTGCAAAAGTATTCATCCCCCTTGGCGTTTTTCCTATTTTGTTGCATTCCAACCTGTAATTTAAATGGATTTTAATTCGTAGTTCATGTAATGGACATACACAAAATAGTCCAAATTGGTGAAGTGAAATGAAAAAAATTCTACAAAATAAATAACGGAAAAGTGGTGTGTGCATATGTATTCACCCCCTTTGCTATGAAGCCCCTAAATAAGATCTGGTGCAACCAATTACCTTCAGAAGTCACATAATTAGTTAAATAAAGTCCACCTCTGTGCAATCTAAGTGTCACATGATCTGTCACATGATCTCAGTATATATACACCTGTTCTGAAAGGCCCCAGAGTCTGCAACACCACTAAGCAAGGGGCACCACCAAGCAAGCGGCACCATGAAGACCAAGGAGCTCTCCAAACAGGTCAGGGACAAAGTTGTGGAGAAGTACAGATCAGGGTTGGGTTATAAAAAAAATATCTAAAACTTTGCACATCCCACGGACACCATTAAATCCATTATAAACAAATGGAAAGAATATGGCACCACAACAAACCTGCCAAGAGAGGGCCGCCCACCAAAACTCACGGACCAGGCAAGGAGGGCATTAATCAGAGGCAACAAAGAGACCAAAGATAACCCTGAAGGAGCTGCAAAGCTCCACAGCGGATATTGGAGTATCTGTCCATAGGACAACTTTAAGCCGTACACCTCACAGAGCTGGGCTTTACGGAAGAGTGGCCAGAAAAAAGCCATTGCTTAAAGAAAAAAATAAGCAATCACGTTTCGTGTTCGCCAAAAGGCATGTGGGAGACTCCCCAAACATATGGAAGAAGGTACTCTGGTCAGATGAGACTCAAATTGAGCTTTTTGGCCATCAAGGAAAACGCTATGTCTGGCGCAAACCCAACACCTCTCATCACCCCGAGAACACCATCCCCACAGTGAAGCATGGTGGTGGCAGCATCATGCTATGGGGATGTTTGTCATCGGCAGGGACTGGGAAACTGGTCAGAATTGAAGGAATGATGGATGGTGCTAAATACAGGGTAATTCTTGAGGGAAACCTGTTTCAGTCTCCAGAGATTTGAGACTGGGACGGAGGTTCACCTTCCAGCAGGACAATGACCCTAAGCATACTGCTAAAGCAACACTTGAGTGGTTTAAGGGGAAACATTTAAATGTCTTGGAATGGCCCAGTCAAAGCCCAGACCTCAATCCAATTGAGATCTGTGGTATGACTTAAAGATTGCTGTACACCAGCGGAACCCATCCAACTTGAAGGAGCTGGAGCAGTTTTGTCTTGAAGAATGGGCAAAAATCCCAGTGGCTAGATGTGCCAAGCTTATAGAGACATACCCCAAGAGACTTGCAGCTGTAATTGCTGCAAAAGGTGGCTCTACAAAGTATTGACTTAGGGGGGGTGAATAGTTATGCACGCTCAAGTTTTCAGTTTTTCTGTCTTATTTCTTGTTTGTTTCACAAGAAAAAATATTTTGCATTTTCAAAGTGGTAGGCATGTTGTGTAAATCAAATGATACAAACCCCCCAAAAACCTATTTTAATTCCAGGGTGTAAGGCAACAAAATAGGAGAAATGCCAAGGGGGGTGAATACTTTTGCAAGCCACTGTACCTGGAGCTAACTCTGCAAATAGCACTGCTGAGTCATTTAAAAAGGCATAGTCAATTGATTAATAATAATAATAGTAATACTCTTAGCAAAAATGTTTATCTTTCATTTACAATATGTAGAATCTATGAGAATAGAAAGGTTCAGAACTTTTGTGAAACATCACAGCACAGTTGAAAAATAGAAAACAAAACTGGATGGTGTACAGAGATAGATGGGAGGGGTTGAGTGGAGCTGAAGGGTGGGACTAAAAACAAACAAAAGATAACTATTGTAAACTATACCGTGTCAGTAAAATGTATATAGTATGTATAAGCTGGAAGTAGAAGCCTGACTTGTTGTCCATTCTTTACTCCAATTAGGGGAGGGATGGTAGGGTTAGGGGAAAATAATCAAGGAAAATATATTAAATATATATATATTTTATATATATATACAGTGAGGGAAAAAAGTATTTGATCCCTTGCTGATTTTGTATGTTTGCCCACTGACAAAGAAATGATCAGTCTATAATTTTAATGGTAGGTTTATTTGAACAGTGAGAGACAGAATAACAACAAAAACATCCAGAAAAACGCATGTCAAAAATGTTATGAATTGATTTGCATTTTAATGAGGGAAATAAGTATTTGACCCCCTTTCAATCAGAAAGATTTCTGGCTCCCAGGTGTCTTTTATACAGGTAACGAGCTGAGATTAGGAGCACACCCTTAACGGGAGTGCTCCTAATCTCAGTTTGTTATCTGTTTAAAAGACACCTGTCCACAGAAGCAATCAATCAATCAGATTCCAAACTCTCCACCATGGCCAAGACCAAAGAGCTCTCCAAGGATGTCAGGGACAATTGTAGACCTACACAAGGCTGGAATGGGCTACAAGACCATCGCCAAGCAGCTTGGTGAGAAGGTGACAACAGTTGGTGCGATTATTCGCAAATGGAAGAAACACAAAAGAACTGTCAATCTCCCTCGGCCTGGGGCTTCATGCAAGATCTCACCTCGTGGAGTTGCAATGATCATGAGAACGGTGAGGAATCAGCCCAGAACTACACGGGAGGATCTTGTCAATGATCTCAAGGCAGCTGGGACCATAGTCACCAAGAAAACAATTGGTAACACACTACGCCGTGATGGACTGAAATCCTGCAGCGCCCGCAAGGTCCCCCTGCTCAAGAAAGCACATATACATGCCCGTCTGAAGTTTGCCAATGAACATCTGAATGATTCAGAGGAGAACTGGGTGAAAGTGTTGTGGTCAGATGAGATCAAAATGGAGCTCTTTGGCATCAACTCAACTCGCCGTGTTTGGAGGAGGAGGAATGCTGCCTATGACCCCAAGAACACCATCCCCACCGTCAAACATGGAGGTGGAAACATTATGCTTTGGGGGTGTTTTTCTGCTAAGGGGACAGGACAACTTCACCGCATCAAAGGGACGATGGACGGGGCCATGTACCGTCAAATCTTGGGTGAGAACCTCCTTCTCTCAGCCAGGGCATTGAAAATGGGTCGTGGATGGGTATTCCAGCATGACAATGACCCAAAACACACGGCCAAGGCAACAAAGGAGTGGCTCAAGAAGAAGCACATTAAGGTCATGGAGTGGCCTAGCCAGTCTCCAGACCTGAATCCCATAGAAAATCTGTGGAGGGAGCTGAAAGTTCAAGTTGCCAAACGTCAGCCCCGAAACCTTAATGACTTGGAGAAGATCTGCAAAGAGGAGTGGGACAAAATCCCTCCTGAGATGTGTGCAAACCTGGTGGTCAACTACAAGAAACATCTGACCTCTGATTGCCAACAAGGGTTTTGCCACCAAGTACTAAGTCATGTTTTGCAGAGGGGTCAAATACTTATTTCCCTCATTAAAATGCAAATCAATTTATAACATTTTTGACATGTGTTTTTCTGGATTTTGTTGTTGTTATTCTGTCTCTCACTGTTCAAATAAACCTACCATTAACATTATAGAGTGATCATTTCTTTGTCAGTGGGCAAACGTACAAAATCAGCAGGGGATCAAATACTTTTTTCCCTCGCTGTGTATATGTATATATATATATATATATATCAGTGGGGAGAACAAGTATTTCATACACTGCCGATTTTGCAGGTTTTCCTACTTACAAAGCATGTAGAGGTCTGTAATTTTTATCATAGGTACACTTCAACTGTGAGAGACGGAATCTAAAACAAAAATCCAGAAAATCACATTGTATTATTTTTAAGTAATTAATTTGCATTTTATTGCATGACATAAGTATTTGATCACCTACCAACCAGTAAGAATTCCGGCTCTCACAGACCTGTTAGTTTTTCTTTAAGAAGCCCTCCTGTTCTCCACTCATTACCTGTATTAACTGCACCTGTTTGAACTCGTTACCTGTATAAAAGACACCTGTCCACACACTCAATCAAACAGACTCCAACCTCTCCACAATGGCCAAGACCAGAGAGCTGTGTAAGGACATCAGGAATAAAATTGTAGACCTGCACAAGGCTGGGATGGGCTACAGGACAATAGGCAAGCAGTTTGGTGAGAAGGCAACAACTGTTGGCGCAATTATTAGAAAATGGAAGAAGTTCAAGATGACGGTCAATCACCCTCGGTCTGGGGCTCCATGCAAGATCTCACCTTGTGGGGCATCAATGATCATGAGGAAAGTGAGGGATCAGCCCAGAACTACACGGCAGGACCTGGTCAATGACCTGAAGAGAGCTGGGACCACAGTCTCAAAGAAAACCATTAGTAACACACTACGCCGTAATGGATTAAAATCCTGCAGCGCACGCAAGGTCCCCCTGCTCAAGCCAGCGCATGTTCAGGCCCGTCTGTAGTTTGCCAATGACCATCTGGATGATCCAGAGGAGGAATGGGAGAAGGTAATGTGGTCTGATGAGACAAAAATATAGCTTTTTGGTCTAAACTCCACTCGCCGTGTTTGGAGGAAGAAGAAGGATGAGTACAACCCCAAGAACACCATCCCAACCGTGAAGCATGGAGGTGGAAACATCATTCTTTGGGGATGCTTTTCTGCAAAGGGGACAGGACGACTGCACCGTATTGAGGGGAGGATGGATGGGGCCATGTATCGCAAGATCTTGGCCAACAACCTCCTTCCCTCAGTAAGAGCATTGAAGATGGGTCGTGGCTGGGTCTTCCAGCATGACAACGACCCGAAACACACAGCCAGGGCAACTAAGGAGTGGCTCCGTAAGAAGCATCTCAAGGTCCTGGAGTGGCCTAGCCAGTCTCCAGACCTGAACCCAATAGAAAATCTTTGGAGGGAGCTGAAAGTCCGTATTGCCCAGCGACAGCCCTGAAACCTGAAGGATCTGGAGAAGGTCTGTATGGAGGAGTGGGCCAAAATCCCTGCTGCAGTGTGTGCAAACCTGGTCAAGACCTATAGGAAACGTATGATCTCTGTAATTGCAAACAAAGGTTTCTGTACCAAATATTAAGTTCTGCTTTTCTGATGTATCAAATACTTATGTCATGCAATAAAATGCAAATTAATTACTTAAAAATCATACAATGTGATTTTCGGGATTTTTGTTTTAGATTCCGTCTCTCACAGTTGAAGTGTACCTATGATAAAAATGACAGACCTCTACATGCTTTGTAAGTAGGAAAACCTGCAAAATCGGCAGTGTATCAAATACTTGTTCTCCCCACTGTATATGTATTTACAAAATAATATATGGGGGATTGATGCAGACCATTACATTGATGGAAGCCACAATCTATCTGCAATATTAAAGCTGATTTCCCCTCTAATTTCGCTGTATTAATAATAATAATAACAATAATAATAATAATAATAATAATAATAATAATAATAATAAAAAGTCCCATCCTATTACTACGGAGGTTTGAAAATTCATATTTTCTTCAGATAGGCTTTCATTGATCATGGTTTTCAGTGACTCCTCAAAGCCTTTGGACTGTCTTGTGGAAATTTTACTGGAGGGTTTTCCTAGTTGTTTTTACTCTGTGTAGCCAAAGTTAGTAGTTTAACCTTTTTTTCTTTGCCTCAGAAAGTTAAAGAAATTGTGGATCAAGAGCTGTGTCCGTTCTTCTACACTCCTACAGTCTCTGGTGCCTTGCTTTTTTATATTCACTTTCATAATTACATATGTAGATGCTTTTAAGTCGTTAAATTTAAACATTTCAAATGAATTATCTTTCATACTTATATTTTTTATTTCCCCTGTCTAGTGCTGGGAAGATGCATACCTGATGTTACCGCTCTGAAAAATATTCCTAATACGTTAGGCTTGCCATCAAGCATCAATGATACAGTCAATGGCATCAGGAACGCCACAGGGTAGGGGGTGTTATATATATATATATATATACACACACACACACACTGTAAATTCCCATTAATAATTCATAATTGCTCTCACTGCCAGTGAAGGGTCCCTGGTTGAGTGAGTTATATTGATCTCTCATCAATATAGTAGACTAGTTCCTGTGTGTAGACGTAGACCTGTGTTTGCGTGTTGGTGTCTTGCTTTATGATAGGGGTAGCCCTTAGCCATACCCTCGTAGTCATCTGCCCTGTCATTTAGCTCCAGTAGTACCCTTGCACATCACATGACTAGAACATTCCTTTTAGTACTAGATCCCACATAAAGCCTTGGGTTGATTCTGAGGATAATATTAACACTGAGTCTGACCAGGATGTCCAGACCTGAGTGGTCATTGTTAAATGTAATAAACAAAGAATAAGACTAAAGATAACTATTTTATGTTCATCCTTTGACACATAAAACACATGAACAGGTGTAATAGTGGGCACTTGTTAGTATTTTCTACACAAACAACCCAAGGAACTGTCAATGGCTGTAGTTGTACACCCTCCCAAATTATCCCTCAATGTGCTGTAGTAATCAATACACTTACTAGTACTGAATACCTGCAGTCAAAGAAAGCTTATAATGTTACTCTCTCTTTCTATTGAGCTCTATAAATGCCACCAATGCATGAATGTACTATTACAAAGCAACCTCATATTTCTCTTTCTTTGTTACTCTTATCTCCTCCTCTACTTCTAAATCGTCTCTGCTTTAATCTTCATTTATCGTGTAGTACTCTTCATCGTGCTGTTTTGTGTCAGAGACATTGTCAGTAAATACTAGCATTAACATGTTTTTTCCCTGTGCGTCTTGTAGTGATATAGTAAACAGCTTCAATGCCAAGGAGATTGGAGTGAGAATCTTTGAGGACTTTGCGTCGTCATGGCAGTGGATCATTGCGTGAGTCTCTCTCTTGGGTTAATTTTCACCTCGCATCAAACCACCCCCTACTGCCAGTTACTTGTCAATGCACAATTTCCAGTGTGCTGTACTGTTGTATTGGAACAGGAGAAACCTGAAAAGTTTGCATGGTCGCTCTATCTTCTCAGCCTATCGTTCACGTCACACTTAATACGCTTAACTTATTAAATATGAGACTGCTTCAGAAAGAAGCTAATTTCTTTTAGAGAGGGCATATTAGGGCCGGGACGATACCAGTATCGCTATGCTAGTTAGTATCGTGGCAAGGAAACAAAACATATTTAACTTCTTTAGGAAAACAGCCCTAATGTTGGAAACAAACATCATTATAATGTCATCCAGAGTCATGTATTTATTTTTCAAGCTATAGCACACAATATTTTACATACAGCAGGTTTTTAAAGGACCGAAGAGTTTGGTCTGCTTCGTGTTTTAATTTTTGCCTTGTAAAGAATATTGTAAATGCTTATGACACTAAGTGCTTATAAAACAGGACAAACCTGTAGGTGTCAATAAAGTATGTGTTTTACCTGTATCAGAGCCATATACAGTATTTAGATACATTGCTCTGACGTATACTGAACAAAAATATAAACGCAACATGCAACAATGTTTAATGTTTTACTGAGTTACAGTTCATATAAGGAAATCAGTCAATTGAAATAAATTCATTAGGCCCTAATCTGTGGATTTCACATGACTGGGCAGGGGTGCAACCATGGGTGGGCCTGGGAGGACATAGGCCCACCCACTTGGGAGCCAGGCCCACCCACTGCGGAGCCAGGACCTGCCAATCAGAATGAGTTTTTCCCCACAAAAGGGCTTTATTACAGACAGAAATACTCCTCAGTTTCATCAGCTGTCCGGGTGACTGGTCTCAGACGATCCCGCAGGTTAAGACGTCTGATGTGGAGGTCCTGGGCTGGCATGGTTACACGTGGTCTGCAGTTGTGAGGCCGGTTGTACGTACTGCCAAATTCTCTAAAACAACGTTGGAGGCGGCTTATGGTAGAGAAATTAACATTCAATTATCTGGCAACAGCTCTGGTGGACATTTCTGCAGTCAGCATGCCAATTGCACACTCCCTCAAAACTCTAGACATCTGTGGCATTGTGTTGTATTACAAAACTGAACGTTTTAGAGTGGCCTTTTATTGTCCCCCAGCACAAGGTGCACCTGTTTAATGATCATGCTGACTAATCAGGTTCTTGATATGCCACACCTGTCAGGTGGATGGATTATCTTGGCAAAGGAGAAATGTTCACTAACAGGGATGTAAACACATTTTTGTGCATATGGAACATTTCTGGGCTCTTTTTTACATGTTGCGTTTATATTTTTGTTCAGTATATATCTGGTGGCTTGATACATATTTACAAATCACTGAGTTCAATTATGTCATAATATTTTAGGCTGATCCACCTCATTTGTGAAACCGGCCTTATATTTTAATAATGTCCAGAAATGTATCTCCTTTTCTTTCTTATTTTTGTTGTTCTCCTCTACCTCCTTTTAACTTTACCCTCTCTCTGCTCTTCAAATCCTCTCTCTTACTCTGCTGTGTTCCTCTCTCCTCCCTCAGTGCTCTGGTCATAGCCATGGTGGTCAGTTTTCTCTTTCTCCTTCTGTTGAGGTTCATTGCCCCTGTTATGGTCTGGGTCCTTATATTTGGAGTGTTGGCAGTTGGTGCTTATGGTAAGTCATTGATAATATCAGTGTGGTAATAATATGTCTACTAGCATGTGTGTAGTGTACTCTCTCTAGTAGGTCTATACACACATTACCAAAAGTATGTGGACACCTGCTCATCGAACATCTCATTCCAAAATCATGGGCATTAATATGGAGTTTGTTCCCCCTTTGCTGCTATAACAGCCTCCACTCTTCTGGGAAGGCTTTCCACTAGATGTTGGAACATTGCTGCGGGGACTTGCTTCCATTCAGCCACAAGAGCATTAGTGAGGTTGGGCACTGATGTTGGGCGATTAGGCCTGGCTCGCAGTTGGCGTTCCAATTAATTCCAAAGGTGTTCGATGGGGTTGAGGTCAGGGCTCTGTGCAGACCAGTCAAGTTCTTCCACACCAATCTCGACAAACCATTTCTGTATGGACCTCGCTATGTGCACGGGGACATTGTCATGCTGAAACAGGAAGGGTCCTTCCCCAAACTGTTGCCACAAAGTTGGAAGCACAGAATTGTCTAGTATGTCATTGTATGCCGTAGCGTTAAGATTTCCCTTCACTGGAACTAAGGGGCTAAGCCCGAACCATGAAAAACAGCCCCAGACCATTATTTCTCCTCCATCAAACTTTACAGTTGGCACTATGCATTCGGGCAGGTAGCGTTCTCCATGCATCCGCCAAACCCAGATTTGTCCGTCGGACTGCCAGATGGTGAAGTGTGATCCATCACTTCAGAGAACGAGTCCAATGGCGGCAAGCTTTACACCACTCCAGCCTACATGCATTGCGCATGGTGATCTTAGGCTTGTGTGCGGCTGCTCGGCCATGGAAACCCATTTCATGAAGCTCCCGACGAACAGTTCTTGTGCTGACGTTGCTTCCAGAAGCAGTTTGGAACTCGGTAGTGAGTGTTGCAACCGAGGACAGACGATTTTTGCGTGCTACGTACTTCAGCACTCGTGGTCCTGTTTTGTGAGCTTGTGGGGCCTACCACTTTGTGGCTGAGCCGTTGTTGCTCCTAGACATTTCCACTTCACAATAACGGCACTTACAGTTGACCGGGGCAGCTCTAGCAGGGCAGAGATTTGACGAACTGACTTGTTGGAAAGGTGGCATCCTATGACGGCACCACGTTGAAAGTCACTGAGCTCTTCTGTAAGGCCATTCTACTGTCAATGTTTGTCTATGGAGATTGCATGGCTGTGTGTTCAATTTTATACACCTGTCAGCAACAAGTGTGGCTGAAATAGCCGAATCCACTAATTTGAAGCGGTGTCCACATACTTATGTATATATAGTGTATGTAGGTCACATTGGTTTAAGAACATGGACTTTTCAGGGTAGTTAAAGCATTTTCTTTTTCTCTCTCTCCCTCTCTCGCTCTGTCTGTCTTTCTGCCTGTCTGTCTGTAGGCATATATCACTGCTGGTGGGAGTACAACAACTACAGAAAGTCAACCGTCTCAATTACTGACATAGGCTTCTCCACCGACTTCAAGGTCTACCTTCAGGTCAAGGAGACCTGGCTGACCTTCTGTGAGTCTGATATTACACGATATTATGTCTCTGTTTTCTTCTGTACACAGACTGACAGACATGCCTTTCTGATGACAACTCTGTACCATTGTGTTGACCTATCTACTTCCTCCCTATATCTCTCTCTCCTCTCCTTTCTCTATCTCTCTCTCTCTCTTTATCACTCAGTGATAATCCTGTCTGTGGTAGAGGGCATTCTTCTCCTGACCTTGATCTTTCTGCGGACCAGAATCCTCATCGCCATTGCTCTCATCCAGGAGTCCAGCAAGTGAGTCATGTTAGATATATGAGCCAGGATTACACATACTGGCCCATACTTACACACACAAAACCATGTATTGTGACAATATTCTACCAATATTGCGATACAACCTAACTTTTCAGCACACATACTGTAACTGTAACGTCTGTCTCTTTCACAGGGCTGTCAGTCACATGATGTCTACGCTGTTCTACCCTCTCATCACCTTCGTTCTCCTGGTGGTGTGTGTGGCCTATTGGGGCATCACTGCTCTGTATCCTCTCACAGTCGTTTAAATATTTGTGGGTATTTTACACTGCCTATTATAGTTTTATGACAAAAGGTCTGTTTTGTATCTGTGTTCCACTGAGCACTGTCTACAAACTCCACGGTATCGTTAACCCACTTAACAGAGGATGTTTAGGTATCTGGCCACTTCAGGCATTCCAGTGTACAAAGTGGTGGCTCTCAACTCTACTCAGGATAACTGTGGCCAAATCAGTGGCAATGAGACCTGTGACCCACAGGTAAGTGTCCCTGATGAACTTTGACCCCATAGAGATGGATGCAGAAAAGCCCAACTCAGATATCAGAAACACAGAAAATGTGTGTACATCCTTCAGCTGTCTACGTAATTGATTTTTTTTTTGACCCCTTTCCATCTCTCCATTCATATCTCATCCCTTCCTCTTTCATCTCTCCCCCCTCCTATCTTTCCCTCAGACATTCTACAACTCTACAGACTACTCGTGGTGCCCGTCGGCGCGCTGCATCTTCATCAAGTACAACAACGAGGGCCTGCTGCAGAGGAACCTGTTCAACCTACAGCTCTACAACGTGGTGGCCTTTCTGTGGTGCGTCAACTTTGTCATTGCCATGGGCCAGTGCACCCTGGCAGGGGCCTTCGCCTCCTACTACTGGGCCTTCAGCAAGCCCTCGGACATCCCCACCTTCCCCCTGTCCCAGGCCTTCATCCGCACACTACGGTAATGGAGTAGACACACTTCAGCAGAAGGGCTGTGGTGGTGCCTTTCCTTGCCTGGCCACTAGAGGGTCCACAGACCATATACTGAGTGTACAAACATTATTAACACCTTCCTAATATTGAGTTGCACCCACTTTTGCCCTCAGAACAGCCTCAATTTGTTGGGACATGGACTCTACAAGGTGTCAAAGTGTTCCACAGGGATGATGGCCCATGTTGACTCCAATGCTTCCCACAGTTGTGTTAAGTTGGCTTGATGTCCTTTGGGTGGTGGACCATTCTTGATACACACAGGAAACTGTTGAACGTTGCTGTTCTTGACACACTCAAACCGGTGCGCCTGGCACTTACTAGCATACCCCATTCAAAGGCACTTAAATATTTTGTCTTTCACACTCTGAATGACACACATACACAATCCATGTCTCAAGGATTACAAATCCTTCTTTAACCAGTCTCCTCCCCTTCATCTACACTGATTGAAGTGGATTTAAGAAGGGACATCAATAAGGGATCATAGCTTTCACCCGGATTCACTTGGTCAGTCAATGTCATGGAAAGAGCAGGTGTTCCTAATGTTTTGTACACTCAGTGTAAATTGAACCACAATCAAAATTTTGTTAGCTTTCCATTCAATTCACTCCCTCTCTCCCCCTATGTCTATGTTTCTTCTATTAGATACCATGTTGGCTCCCTGGCATTTGGTGCTCTGATCCTCACCCTCATCCAGATAGTCCGGATCATCCTGGAGTACCTGGACCACAAGACCAGAGGTAAGGCTGGAGGCCGCCATGGACTTCCCTTGAAAACCTGTTATTGTTATCCAATTCAAACATGTAATCCTACTAGGCCTATATATATATATATATATATATATATATATATATATATACACTGCTCAAAAAAATAAAGGGAACACTTAAACAACACAATGTAACTCTAAGTCAATCACACTTCTGTGAAATCAAACTGTCCACTTAGGAAGCAACACTGATTGACAATAAATTTCACATGCTGTTGTGCAAATGGAATAGACAACAGGTGGAAATTATAGGCAATTAGCAAGACACCCCCAATAAAGGACTGGTTTTGCAGGTGGTGACCACAGACCACTTCTCAGTTCCTATGCTTCCTGACTGATGTTTTGGTCACTTTTGAATGCTGGCGGTGCTTTCACTCTAGTGGTAGCATGAGATGGAGTCTACAACTCACACAAGTGGCTCAGGTAGTGCAGCTCATCCAGGATGGCACATCAATGCGAGCTGTGGCAAGATGGTTTGCTGTGTCTGTCAGCGTAGTGTCCAGAGCATGGAGGCGCTACCAGGAGACAGGCCAGTACATCAGGAGACGTGGAGGAGGCCGTAGGAGGGCAACAACCCAGCAGCAGGACTGCTACCTCCGCCTTTGTGCAAGGAGGAGCAGGAGGAGCACTGCCAGAGCCCTGCAAAATGACCTCCAACAGGCCACAAATGTGCATGTGTCTGCTCAAACGGTCAGAAACAGACTCCATGAGGGTGGTATGAGGGCCCAACGTCCACAGGTGGGGGTTGTGCTTACAGCCCAACACCGTGCAGGACGTTTGGCATTTGCCAGAGAACACCAAGATTGGCAAATTCGCCACTGGCGCCCCGTGCTCTTCACAGATGAAAGCAGGTTCACACTGAGCACATGTGACAGACGTGACAGAGTCTGGAGACGCCGTGGAGAATGTTCTGCTGCCTGCAACATCCTCCAGCATGACCGGTTTGGCGGTGGGTGCAGTCATGGTGTGGGGTGGCATTTCTTTGGGGGGCCGCTCAGCCCTCCATGTGCTCGCCAGAGGTAGCCTGACTGCCATTAGGTACCGAGATGAGATCCTCAGACCCCTTGTAAGACCATATACTGGTGCGGTTGGCCCTGGATTCCTCCTAATGCAAGACAATGCTAGACCTCATGTGGCTGGAGTGTGTCAGCAGTTCCTGCAAGAGGAAGGCATTGATGCTATGGACCGCCCGTTCCCCAGACCTGAATCCAATTGAGCACATCTGGGACATCATGTCTCGCTCCATCCATCAACGCCACGTTGCACCACAGACTGTCCAGGAGTTGGCGGATGCTTTAGTCCAAGTCTGGGAGGAGATCCCTCAGGAGACCATCTGCCACCTCATCAGGAGCATGCCCAGGCGTTGTAGGGAGGTCATACAGGCACGTGGAGGCCACACACACTACTGAGCCTCATTTTGACTTGTTTTAAGGACATTACATCAAAGTTGGATCAGCCCGTAGTGTGGTTTTCCACTTTAATTTTGAGGGTGACTCCAAATCCAGACCTCCATGGGTTGATAAATTTGATTTCCATTGATAATTTGTATGTGATTTTGTTGTCAGCACATTCAACTATGTAAAGAAAAAAGTATTTAATAAGATTATTTCATTCATTCAGATCTAGGATGTGTTATTTTAGTGTTCCCTTTATTTTTTTGAGCAGTGTATATATGTGTCTAGTAATATAAGGATTATGTCTCTTTCTCTCTAGCGGCTCAAAACCCCTGTGCTCGGTTCCTCATGTGCTGTCTGAAGTGTTGCTTCTGGTGTCTGGAGAAGTTCATCAAGTTCCTCAATAGAAACGCCTACATCATGGTCAGTCTCCACTACGTCACCATAACATCATCACATATACCTGTTAACTACAACTCCCTGTCAGTCAATCTCTCTCCCTCAGTTCCCCAGTGTAGAGTATTTCTGGTAGGCTATATATCTAATACACGTTCCTCTTTTTCCAACAGATTGCTGTATATGGAAAAAACTTCTGTGTCTCCGCGAAAAACGCATTCATGCTTCTAATGAGGAACATTGTCAGGTACAGTATGTGCTCTAGTAATGGTTGGTATGCCTGTAGGAATGTGTAGACTTGTTTTTTCCCTCATGCATAAGAACATTTTGCATGGATTTGATTGACTGCTGTGGAACCATAGCTGAGTGCTGGGGACGTGTTTCCCTGACTGTGCCTCTTCCCACAGGGTGGTGGTGCTAGATAAAGTGACGGACCTGCTGCTGTTCTTTGGGAAGCTGCTAGTGGTGGGAGGAGTAGGTAAGAGGACATAAACGCCAACATAATCATTATGGCGTTATCATTGGTGGTAGTTCTGAATGGGAACTCCTTTGGTGCATTTTACAGGCCAGAAATGTGATTGGATAACCGGTCTAAATTAATCGAATCTTTAACCAATCCTCTTCTACTCTTCTCAGGTGTCCTGGCCTTCTTTTTCTTCTCTGGCAGAATAAGACTACCAGGCAGCAATTTCCGTACTGAAATGCTCAACTATTACTGGATGCCCATTATTGTAAGTGACAGTCATATACAGTGCATTCGGATAGTATTCAGACCCCTTGACTTTTTCCAAATGTTGTTACGTTAGCCTTATTCTAACATTGATTAAATTACATTTTTGTCCTACACAAAATACCCCATAATGACAAAGTGAAAACAGGTCTTTAGACATTTTTGCAAATGTATTACATATGAAAAACAGATACCTTATTTACATAAGTATTCTGAGACTCGAAATTGAGCTCAGGTGCATGCTGTTTCCATTGATCATCCTTGTATTTCCATTGATCATCCTTGAGATGTTTCTACAACTTGATTGGAGTCCACCTGTGGTAAATTCAATTGATTGGACATGATTTGGAAAGGCACACAGCTGTCTATATAAGGTCCCACAGTTGACAGTGCATGTCAGAGCAAAAACCAAGCCATGAGGTCGAAGGAGTTGTCCATAGAGCTCCGAGACAGGATTGTGTCGAGGCACAGATCTGGGGAAGGGTACCAAAAAATGTCTGCAGCATTGAAGGTCCCCAAGAACACAGTGGCCTCCATCATTCTTAAATGGAAGAAGTTTGGCAAAAGGCACCTAAAGGACTCACAGACCATGAGAAACAAGAGTCTCTGGTCTGATGAAACCAAGATTGAACTCTTTGGCCTGAATGCCAAGCGTCACGTCTGGAGGAAACCTGGCACCATCGCTACGGTGAAGCATGGTGGTGGCAGCATCATGTTGTGGGGATGTTTTTCAGCGGCAGGGACTGGGAGAATAGTCAGGATCGAGGGAAAGATAAACGGACCAAAGTACAGAGATATCCTTGATGAAAACCTGCTCCAGAGCGCTCAGGACCTCAGACTGGGGCAAAGGTTCACCTTCCAACAGGACAACAACCCTAAGCACACAGCCAAGACAACGCAGGAGTGGCTTCGGGACAAGTCTCTGAATGTCCTTGAGTGGCCCAGCCAGAGTCCGGACTTCAACCCGATCGAACATCTCTGGAGACACCTGAAAATAGCTGTGCAGTGACGCTCCTCATCCAACCTGACAGAGCTTGAGAGGATCTGCAGAGAAGAATGGGAGAAACTCCCCAAATACAGGTGTGCCAAGCTTGTAGCGTAATACCCAAGAAGACTCGAGGCTGTAATCACTGCCAAATGTGCATCAACAAAGTACTCAGTAAAGGGTCTGAATAATTATAATTATAATTATAATTATAATTGGTCATTTAGCAGACGCTCTTATCCAGAGCGACTTACAGGAGCAATTAGGGTTAAGTGCCTTGCTCAAGGGCACATCGACAGATTTTTCTCCTAGTCGGCTCGGGGATTAGAACCAGCGACCTTTCGGTTACTGGCACAACGCTCTTAACCACAGCTACCTGCCGCCCCTGCCGCCCATACCTGCCGCCCATACTTATGTAAATGTCATATTTCTGCTTTTTTTTTATACATTTGCAAAAATATCTAAAAACTTGTTTTTGCTTTGTTATTATGGGGTATTGTATGTAGATTGTTGAGGGAAATAAACAATTGAATCCATTTTAGAATAAGGCTGTAACATAACAAAATGTGGAAAAAGTCAAGGGGTCTGAATACTTTCCGAATGGTATTCCATAGTGGAAGTGAAAGAGAATTAAATGTGTGTTAGAGAAATAAATTGACAGTGGTGTATATGTCTTTGTGGTAACAGGTGGTTGTGGTGGGAGCGTACCTCATTGCTCATGGTTTTTTCAGTGTGTACAACATGTGTGTGGACACACTCTTCCTCTGCTTCTGTGAGTAGAGCACCTCCAGCAACACATATTACTGTATTACTGAACACTCTTTTCCAACATGCTTATTGATTTTCTCTTCCTTTCTTCTCTCCCGTTCTCACAGTGGAGGACCTGGAGCGACATGACGGAACGATGCAGAAGCCATACTACATGTCCAAGAACCTGATGAAAATCCTAAATAAAAAGAACAAGGGACCTAAAAAGGACAAAGGAAAGGATTGATGAAATAGTGCCTTGAGATGAATTAGAACCGCACAGCCATTTTCAATATCCTAGAAACATCGCAACATCCTAGAAATATCACCTTTTTAATATTTGTGTATCTTTCAGCCTTATCATTCCTTCTGTTTTCCCCCTTCTGACATGTCAACGTTGACACAAAATTGATAACTTTTTTGCACTTTCAATTTGACATTATGTGTCCATGCTTATGTGAAAGATTACTTGTGTGAGATATATTCTTAAATTCCAGCTATTCCTTCTAACAATTTTAAGTGACCAAAACTAGAGCTGTTTATTACTCTGACCAAAACCAAATGTTTATTCTCTCACAGTGCTTATTTGTTATCAGAAAAGAGACCGTTTTCTCAAGTCAACAAATTATTTATTAGCCATAACTGTTTAATACTTTTTTTATGATCCTCAGTACTCTGTATATGATTTCAGTTTAAGGTCTGTGTTAGTTTTTTTATTTGTTAAAGTAACACTAGCAGTTTTATTATGATTCTATTTTCTTAGATGTTATGTAATATTGTAGATAGTTTTGTATTAATAAAAATACAATAAAATACTTGATTGTAAATGATTATATATAAAACTGTATTATTAGTTTTTCCCATGCTGACATCACTCCTGTAATTTCCTTGTGCAATGATTGATTGCTCTATTGGAAAATAGCTCTGGTTTATTTCACACATCAGCTTGAAGCAGAGGTGCATGTGATCTTCTGAAATGCTCTGAAAATTATGAGACACTTGCAGGCTGCAGACCCTTGTACATGGGAGCTGAAGACAAAGCTCTCTTTAGCAGAACTTATAGCAAGTCAGATGTATGAGGTGTCTCAATGTGATCTGAGCATTTCGTATTATTCTGTATGTAAAGACAATCCATTTCGTATGATATGTTACGAATTCAAATTTGTTGTTGGCTAACGCTGACTAGCTCTAGGGATAAGGTTAGGGTTAAGGTTAAAGGGTTAGGGGAAGGGTTAGCTAACATGCTAAGTAGTTGCAAAGTACCTAAAAAGTAGCAAGTAGTTGCTAATTAGCTACATTTTTTAAGTTGTCTGTGATGAGATTCGAATGTACAACCTTTTGGTTGCTAGACGTTCACGTTATACGTCCACCCACCCTACTTTCGTTTTTTCCTTAAGCAACCTTGTGTCTTATGTAACCATACTAATTTGAGTGTCCTGGATTTACGTTTACTATATCACGCCTAGTCTATGAGACCAGTCCGGACTGGGCCCCTATTTATGTTCTTATTAAGTACTGGACCCTGAAACAAATCAAATTCAGTCTAGAGCGAGCACATCCATCCATTAGGCTGCACGCACTCAACACAACTACAGTACTTTCAGTTGTCAAGGATCAATGTTAATTTACTTCACATACTGTACTACCCAATATGTCAAAATCTCACTACATTCCTCAACCTCTTGTCTCCTGTGACCCAGAGAGAATGCATGTGGGAGTTTGCAGTCATGTGTTGTATCATGTGATCTACTAACAGGAGAGACTTATCACGTGATCATTCAATGGTCCAGTACAAGAGCCTCTACTGTTGAGACATTTGTAATAGCATTACATTGCAGTGTTTGGTACAGCATGGGGGTATACAATAACCTGTGCAAAAGGTTCTGTTAATCATATGGTCATCTCGACTACAATCATATTACAAGCATAGTAATAGATTGGATACACCTGATCCAGCTAATTTAGGTTACAATGAAGCTGAGCAATTATTTTATGCTTGACATGGATCTAGTGTGTTATTTGTGATTGAATGAATCCCATCTGTGCCTCGCCCATTGTCTTTCACAATTCAGGATATTTAGACATTTAATAAAAATGTAAACTTCATAATAGAAGTGTGCACAGAACTATGAGACAACACAGGCCACATTAAATGTATTAAACAACTATTTATTCAGATCGCAGGAAAACATCATTTCCACAGCTCTGTGACCATTTGGTTTTGCACAATGTCTCACAAAGACTCGCAATACAAATGTAATTTAAATTTATTTTGTGTCACAATAGACCCCTAATACAAATGCTTAGCTTGATCAGACAGTGATATGCAGGAAATTACTTATCCCCTTAACGAGTACAGAAGAGTAACTTGTCTTTCACTGAGTGGAAGAGGGGGACTCGGCCACATCATGACGTGCTTGTCAGGTTCTCTCACATCTTGTCTCATTCCCATGGCTGGTCATTCGGAAACACATAAAAACAGCATTTACAATATTCATTTATACAAATGTATACACACACAAACACAATCAGGAGAAACACTCATTGCAATAGAAATCATAATATGATAATAGTCCATGTCACATTGGGCACAGTTCATGTTATTTTCTTGGCTGCAGATGATAATGACATCAAATACTCATTCTGACTTGAGTCAAAAAGGATCTGGCAAACACTGTATTGACTTCTGCACGTGGGTTGTGTTCAGTAGGCACAAAATGGAAGAAAACTGTAAAAAAAAAAATGGAGTGAAACAGAGGTACAATCTGAATTTGTCCAATAAACACTCGTTTTTTTTTCTGTTGCAAAATGTTTTGCTATGTTGTGCCTTAATGAACGTGACCCTGCTGTCATCTTTTCCTGTGTAGGTCTGTGCCCAGCTATAGTGGCTTGCGAAAGTATTCACCCCCCTTGGCATTTTTCCTATTTTGTTGCCTTACAACCTGGAATTAAAATGGATTTTTTTTGGGGGGGGGGGGGGTTTGTATCATTTGATTTACACAACATGCCTACCTCTTTGAAGATGCAAAATATTTTTTCTTGTAAAACAAACAAAAAATAAGACAAAAAAACAGAAAACTTGAGCGTGCATAACTATTCACCCCCCCAAAGTCAATACTTTGTAGAGCCACCTTTTGCAGCAATTACAGCTGCAAGTCTCTTGGGGTATGTCTCTATAAGCTTGGCACATCTAGCCACTGGGATTTTTGCCCATTCAAGGCAAAACTGCTCCAGCTCCTTCAAGTTGGATGGGTTCTGCTGGTTTACAGCAATCTTTAAGTCATACCACATATTCTCAATTGGATTGAGGTCTGGGCTTTGACTAGGCCATTCCAAGACATTTAAATGTTTCCCCTTAAACCACTCGAGTGTTGCTTTAGCAGTATGCTTAGGGTCATTGTCCTGCTGGAAGGTGAACCTCCGTCCCAGTCTCAAATCTCTGGAAGACTGTTACAGGTTTCCCTCAAGAATGTCCCTGTATTTAGCGCCATCCATCATTCCTTCAATTCTGACCAGTTTCCCATCTGACCAGAGTACATTCTTCCATATGTTTGGAGAGTCTCCCACATGCCTTTTGGCGAACACCAAACGTGTTTGCTTATTTTGTTCTTTAAGCAATGGCTTTTTTCTGGCCACTTATGTAAAGCCCAGCTCTGTGCAGTGTACGGCTTAAAGTGGTCCAGATCCTCCAATCTCCGCTGTGGAGCTTTGCAGCTCCTTCAGGGTTATCTTTGGTCTCTTTGTTGCCTCTCGGATTAATGCCCTCCTTGCCTGGTCCGTGAGTTTTGGTGGGCGGCCCTCTCTTGGCAGGTTTGTTGTGGTGCCATATTCTTTCCATTTCTTAATAATGGATTTAATGGTGCTCCGTGGGATGTTCAAAGTTTCAGATATTTTTTTATAACCCAACCCTGATCTGTACTTCTCCACAACTTTTTTTTTTTTTTTTGGGGGGGGGGAATGGATCAGCTTAATATTGCAGATAGATTGTATCTTCTATCAATGTAATTGTCTGCATCACTTCCAATCCCCCATGTTTTTTTTATATTTTTTATATATATACTCCCCTTTATTACTTTTCAACCCCACCATCCTTTCCCTACTTGGAGTAAATTAGTGAACAACAATGCCCAGGCCTCTACTTCCGGTCTATACTTACTATCTATACCTTATGGACAGAGTTACTTTTACAATAATTCTATTATATATATATATATATATATATATATTTTTTTTTTTTGCTCCTGAACTTCTTCTACTCTCAACCTCTCCGATCATTTTCATGATGTCCATCCGGTTTGCTTCTATATGCCATATCTTTCTAACTGTGCTCCTTCCCAAAAGCTCCCAACATACAACCTATATACTTATTATGGACACAGTATGCTTTACCATTATTAGCCATCTTTGTTATTATTTGTGTTATTTGTTATTAGTCCCACCCTTTAACCCCATTCAATACCTCCCATCATCTTTTAACACCTATATAGGATTTTATTTCCCAAATTTATTTTAAAACCGTTGTGAGTTTTCAAATTTCGAACCTTTCTATTCCTTGTTTAAGATGTGAATTAAAAAAAACCGTTTTGTTTAAAAGTATTATTATTTGTTTGATGGACTATGGTTTTGATCCCCAGAAATGCACTCAAGGTTAGTTCTGGTAAATTTTGCAACCTTTCCCTTTCCGGGCCCTGGGTCCAAAAAACAAGCTACAAAGGACAAAACCAAACAAATGACCCAAATGTTTCCCGTCTCTTACAGCAAAATCTGCAGAGCGGGAAGTTTGTATCCCCCATATAAAAAATTCTATGGGAAAGAATTTTTAATAAAATTTAAAATTGAAGTTTCTAATTTTTGAATCCGGTGTTTTTTGCGGTCAGTTCATAAACACTTTCCAGGGGATCGGACACAAAGCCCTTTCCCAATTTTGCAATCTATAGGGGACGGGGGTCAATCCTTTGGTCCAAGAAAAATGATATATTTTTTATTTTCACAGTTTCCTTAACCAATTTGTTCTTAATGCAAGGTGACGGGCAAGTCCTATTTTCCCCCTTCCATTTCCCTCCCCCATTTTTCGGGAAGGCTGCAATTATTTTTTTGTAAATTTTTGGGAGAGCAGAATTTCCATATGTTTTGAGTGCTGTGCGTCATAATCCACCAGCTCCCTGAAAATTACGAAGATTATCCTTTTTTTTAAAAATTCTGTCAAAAATAAAGGTTTTTGTCAATTGTATATTTGAATTTAAACCCCAATATTTTTTGATTTTTGTTCTGACGTTTGGGGATTAAATTGAAATTTTTCACCACTCCAAAACCTCCATATGGCCAAGACCAAAGGGAGCTGTCAAAGGAGACCAAAAACAAAATTTGTAGGAACTGCACCAGGCTGGGAAGACTGAATCTGCATAGGTAAGCAGCTTGGGTTTGAAGAAATCAACTGTGGGAGCAATATTAGGTAGAAATGGAAGACATACAAGGACCGCGTGATAACATCTCCTCGATCTGGGGGCTCCACGCAAGATCTCACCCCGTGGGAGTCAAAATGTCACAGAGAACTGGTGACGTCAAAAATACCAGAACCCACACGGGGGGTGACATCGTGAATGACTGCAGAGAGCTGGGTACCAAAGTAACAAAGCCTACCATCAGTAACACACTACACCGCCAGGGACTCAAATCCTGCAGTGCGAGACGTGTCCCCCTGCTTAAGCCAGTACATGTCCAGGCCCGTCTGAAGTGCATTTGAATGATCCAGAAGAGGATTGGGAGAATGTCATACGGTCAGATGAAACCAAAATATAACTTTTTGGTAAAAACTCAACTCGTCATGTTTGGAGGACAAAGAATGCTGAGTTGCATCCAAAGAACACCATACCTACTGTGAAGCATGGGGTTGGAAACATCATGCTTTGGGGCTGTTTTTCTGCAAAGGGACCAGGACGACTGATCCGTGTAAAGGAAAGAATGAATGGGGCCATGTATCGTGAGATTTTGAGTGAAACCCTCCTTCCATCAGCAAGGGCATTGAAGATGAAACGTGGCTGGGTCTTTCAGCATGACAATGATCCCAAACACACCGCCCGGGCAACGAAGGAGTGGCTTCGTAAGAAGCATTTCAAGGTCCTGGAGTGGCCTAGCCAGTCTCCAGATCTCAACCCCATAGAAAATCTTTGGAGGGAGTTGAAAGTCTGTGTTGCCCAGCGACAGCCCCAAAACATCACTGCTCTAGAGGAGATATGCATGGAGGAATGGGCCAAAATACCAGCAACAGTGTGTGAAAACCTTGTGAAGACTTACAGAAAATGTTTGACCTGTGTCATTGCCAACAAAGGGTATATAACAAAGTATTGAGAAACTTTTGTTATTGACCAAATACTTATTTCCCACCATCATATGCCAATAAATTCATTAAAAATCCTACAATGTGATTTTCTGGATTTTTTTTCCTCATTTTGTCTGTCATAGTTGACGTGTACCTATGATGAAAATTACAGGCCTCTCTCATCTTTTTAAGTGGGAGAACTTGCACAATTGGTGGCTGACTAAATACTTTTTTTCTCCACTGTATATATATTTTTTTTTTTTGCTCCTGAACTTCTTCTACTCTCAACCTCTCCGATCATTTTCATGATGTCCATCCGGTTTGCTTCTATATGCCATATCTTTCTAACTGTGCTCCTTCCCAAAAGCTCCCAACATACAACCTATATACTTATTATGGACACAGTATGCTTTACATTATTAGCCATCTTTGTTATTATTTGTTGTTATTTGTTATTAGTCCCATCCTTCAACTCCATTCAATACCTCCCATCTATCTCTTAACACCATCCATATAGGATTTCTATTTGCCATATATATTTCAACCGTACTGTGATGTTTTACAAAAGTTCTGAACCTTTCTATTCTCATTGCTTCTACAGATTGTGAATTAAAAATAAACCGTTTTGCTAAAAGTATTATTATATTATTGATTGATTGACTATGGCTTTTCAGATCACCCAGTAATGCTATCTGCAAGGTTAGTTCTAGGTAAATATTGCAATCCTTTAGCCATTCCTGGACCTGTGTCCAAAAACAAGCTACAAATGGACAGAACCAAAACAAATGATCCAATGATTCCGTCTCTTCACAGCAAAATCTGCAGAGCTGGGAAGATTGTATCCCCCATATAAATAACATTCTATTGGTAGCAAGAATTTTATATAATAATTTAAATTGAAAGATTCTAATTTTTGAATCCGGTGTCGTTTTGCGTGTCAGTTCATAAACACTATGCCATGGGATCGGTACATCAAAGATCTCTTCCCAACTATTTTGCAATCTATATGGGACGGCTGTCAATCCTTTGGTCCTTAAGTGAAACTGATATACTTTTTTATTTATCACAGTTTTCCTTAACCAATTATGTTCTTTAATGCAAGGCTGACAGACAAGTTCCTTACTTTCTCCCCCTTCCACTTTCCTCTTCCATTTTTGCGGTAAGGCTGCAATTATTTGGTTGTAATTTTGGGTAGAGCAGACATTTCCATATGTTTTTGTTAGCTGCATGTGCGTCATAACTCCACCAGTCCTACCGATGATATAATTTACGAAGATTATACCTTTTTTAAACATTCTGTCAAAAAATAAAGGTTTTTTGTCAATTAGTATATTTGAATTTAACCACAATATTTGTTGCATTATTTGTTCTGACGTTTCTGGAGGATTAAATTGAAATTGCAACCAACTTTCTATGGCTTGTTTTAGAAATAGTGACATTTGTTCAGTGTTCAAAGTTTCTGATATTTTTTTATAACCCAACCCTGATCTGTACTTCTCCACAACTTTGTCCCTGACCTGTTTGGAGAGCTCCTTGGTCTTCATGGTGCCACTTGCTTGGTGGTGCCCCTTGCTTAGTGGTGTTGCAGACTCTGGGGCCTTTCAGAACAGGTGTATATATACACTGAGGTCATGTGACAGATCATGTGACACTTAGATTGCACACAGGTGGACTTTATTTAACTAATTATGTGACTTCTGAAGGTAATTGGTTGCACCAGATCTTATTTAGGGGCATCATAGCAAAGGGGGTGAATAGATTTGCACGCACCACTTTTCCATTATTTATTTGTTAGAATTTTTTGAAACAAGTTATTTTTTTCATTTCACTTCACCAATTTGGACTATTTTGTGTATGTCCATTACATGAAATCCAAATAAAAATCCATTTAAATTACAGGTTGTAATGCAACAAAATAGGAGAAACGCCAAGGGGGATGAATACTTTTTCAAGGCACTGTACAAGCCCCCAGGGCCAGTTTTTCAGAACATTTAATCCAGAACAAATGATCCTGTGTCGTGTTCAATTCTATTCCAGATCATTTTGATTGATAGATTTAAATGTTCCAAAAGTTGTCCCCAGAGTATTTGCTCATATGTGGCCAATTCTCCACAAAGCACAACTGTACACAATCCAATACTGTCCATACACTATCCTCATGACTCTACAATACAGTGTTAGTCTGTTAACCTATATGATAAAGAACTCTTAAATCGTGTGATTATATTCACTATACTGTAGCTCCAATCCACATTATTAGGTCTGTCTTCTCTATAGGACTTCACAGTGCAATGGCAGTTTGTTAAGATAATATATAAAGTTGTTAGAGTACCCATCTGTACACTAGTCTACAGAATATTCATAAATTGTGTTCGTAAATCTATGGACTAAAATGATTTAATCAGTTAAATTGTAAACAGGAATATCCAAATACATTTTCCCCAAATCGTACTTGACGGTAAAATGTTACTCTTTGGTGGCTATAGTGGTTTTTAAAAATGGTATCAGGTTATAATCCCATTATCACCCTCCCTTAAAACTCAAACTAGCTCTAATTGGGGAATAAACCTGAAATTCCTTCAAGGAGCAAAAACATTATGTCTAAATAGTTCTACGCTAACCACATATTACATAGGTCTTGTGGTACAGTAAAGTTACTTAAAGACTCCCTTAATTAACTTATTCCAATCATTTAATATTGACTATTTATCTCAACACTGATTCCAGTCTATCCACCAGTCCCATCCCTAAAAGTCAGCCAGCGCCCTACGCCTCAACCTGGGTATCCACTGTGTGTGTCTGCATTTATGTACAAACGCACAGAAAGAGGGCAATAGTGACTTCGCTTTACTCACCCTCACGCTTGGGTATCATCCACCCCCACAGAGTGGTGTCTCAGTGTACTCTCCCTATCCAAGTGAGTCTCGTAAATCATTTGGGGGATACACAAATCTTTTTGACTGGTTTGTGTTTCCTTCATTAGAAATATCTTGCTAAGAATTAACTGCCAGTCATCCCACCACCCATCTATAGTCTAAAGCAGAGGTGTCAAATATTCCATGGAGGGCGTGGTGTCTGTGGGTTTTGTTTTTTTCTTTCAATAAAGACCTAGACAAGCAGGTGAGGGGAGTTAATTCCTAATTAGTGACCTTAATCCATCAACCAAGTACATAGGCCCTCCGTGGAATGAGCCACTATTGAGTAAGCCAGTCGTTCCTGATGTTTTGACGTGTGTGTATATGAGTGTGAGCTTTTTAATACATTTCCCCATCCCTACACCTCTCCTTTTCCTCCCTCTCTCCCTCCTCTCCCTTACACGCTCAGCAGCCAGAAGAAAAAGAAGATGGCCACGAACAGGAAGAGAGAGTCCTTCCAGTTGTTGCCGTTGTTGGGGTTGCCGTTGCCTTGGTGATCGGCTGCGTATGCATCTGGGGAACAGTGATAACATATCAATGATCAGTCAATAGCTATCGCATCAAGGAATAAATGGATGGTTGTGTGTGTGTGTACGTACGTACATACATACCTGCTCTGTGGAAGGGGTCGTTGGTGTTGAAGACTGTGGTGAAGAAGCCGAAAGGGAAAGCACCGATCCCAAAGGACATGTGGAAGCCAGTGTCCCCGAACCCTTGGAAGGGCTGCAAGAAGAGGAGGAAATAAAGGAATAGTGGTCTCTCATTACAAATAGAGTGAACACACAAAATAACCATGTGATAAACAATCATATTAAAGGGATACTTCGGGATTTTGGCAGAGGCCCTTTATCTACTTCCCAATGAACTCGTGGATACCATTTCTATGTCTCTGTGTCCAGTATGAAGGAAGTCAGGTAGTTCTGCGAGCCAATGCTAACTAGCGTTAGCGCAATGACTGGAAGTCTCTGGATATCTGCTAGAATGATAAAATCCCAAAGTATCTCTTTAAACATAAATTAAAATGTAAGCGATTAAGAGGAGAGGAAGACTCACCCCTCTGCTCTCTGGCTCTGTTCTCTGTCCCGGAGGACGAGGCGGGGTTTTCAACCTGGAGGACGAAATACCAGTTAACCAATGCAGTTTCACAACTATGCACGCTCTGACTCAAAACACACATGCACACACACAGTGTACCTGGGGTCCTCTTGGCTGGAGCTCCCTCTGCCGTAGAGGGGGATGACTTTCTCTCTGCTGATGCCTGCTTTACACACAGGACACTGCTGTTGGCTGGGCCGCGTCTCCAACCACTGACACAGACCGAGGAGGGAGAGAAAGAGAGACAGTGAGACAGAAGCCATACTGTACTGTCTGTTCAATGCTATCTATTGGCATGCACTGACTTACTACAATGTGCAACACACAGGGTAGATCTATGTGCTGTGGTGTGTTATGTGGAAGGATGAATCAATATACTGTAGTAGAATGATTTATTTGACAAAAAATACAAAATAACTCCACATTATACCATGCACTTTCTGTGTCAGCAATAAGAGTTGTGCAATATAGCACAAAACAATGTCAAATACGAACAGCTGGGTACACAAGGCACTGAAGGCAGTAGTGTTGACACTATTCTATCAACAGAGTTAGCTCAGTAACTAATGAAAGAAAAACATTGACTGATTCTCAGACAATAAAGGAGAAGGATATGCAATACTATGCATGGTGCAATGTACGTAGAGCTAGTGCTATAATCTAAAGCACCTCAAAGACAAAAAGGGGGTTCACAGTAAACACTGGTGTAATGAATGGGACCTTGAGAACATTATCAACTTTAAGCTGCACTAAATCAACTGACTGACCAAGGTGGTCTCAGCTCATGTCATCGGACAGGGACTGGTTTCAACCAGTAGAAAAAGTGTAGCCTGATATTTACCACTACTGTGAAACTAAAGAGAACACCTTTAAATGGCATACTTACTTGATGAAGGCAGGGCCAGCTGTGAAAGAGAGAAAGAGAAATAGATGAATGTGGGTATTATGAATGGTGTCACCTAGAAACATGGTGACATTTGGAGCAACCTCCTAGCGGCCTACTTCATCGAGTCTAAATTGACACACAGAGATTCTCAATTGCATACTCCTCGCTTCCTCTCTCCTCGCCTCCTTCTCAAAACCCATTGGATGAGAAAGCTGAGGTCCCGCCCCTCTGACCTTCTCCTCCAATGGGTTTTGAGAAGGAGGCGAGGAGAGAGGACGCGAGGAGTACGCAATTGAGACTCCCATAGGCCTAATTAGTGTACTAGACTTTGGTTTTCCAGTAGGCCCCCACCTACAGGGCGCAACTGGTTACCCTGTTCTGACCTTAATGATGTGAGTGATTAAAATCATCCGGGCTCCCCATCGTTAATGTTATTTAGCTCCATCGGTCATCGCTCGTTAGCAGTCTCGCCTCGCTGCTGGCCAGATTAATGCATTGTGAGAGAGCAGGATGGTACATGTACAGTAACACGGCATTGGTCGTTCTAAAAACCCTGGTTACAGAGAGTGCTACCATGTACGTGACAATCATAGAAATAGGTCTTGAACAGACAAAGCCTCTCGGACAATGGTGAAATGGGGCTGTCCATTCTACACTGACCAAAAATATAAACGCAACATGTAAAGTGTAGGTCACATGTTTCATGATCTGAAATTATATATATGAACTGTAACTCAGTAAAATCTTTGAAATTGTTGCGTTTATATTTTTGTTCAGTGTAGTTTTCTATTTCTATGGTGACAACACATGGGCTGCCAGCCTGCCATAGATTTGCATTCTGTAACCCGTTTGTGGCCTTGACGGAGTGTAAACAACATTTGTAGAGCTGGGCAGTGAACATAGTTCTGGGAGGGTTTTAAGGGTTTTGCCAGGTGAAGAGCTTACAGTTGGGCACCAGTGGAAAGAGAGCAGAAGTAGCGACTGCACATTAGACATTTGTGGGAGACAGGTGAAGTGTGTACTCTAGTCAAGCTACTAGGGCTGTCCCCGTATTGATCGACCGAGAGTCGTCTGTTCTTCACATTTTAAAACATGTATATAGACACATCCTATGTATTTTAATCAATCAACTGAGCAAAAAAAGAAATGTCCCCTTTTCAGGAACCTGTCTTTCAAAGATCATTCGTAAAAATCTAAATACCTTCACAGATCTTCATTGTAAAGGGATTAAACACTGTTTCCCATGCTTGTTCAATGAACCATAAACAATTAATGAACATACACCTGTGGAACGGTCGTTAAGACACTAACAACGTACAGACTTAGGACACTAAAGAGGCCTTTCTACTCACTCTGAAAAACACCAAAAGAAAGATGCCCAGGGTCCCTGCTCATCTGTGTGAACGTGCCTTAGGCATGCTACAATGTGGCATGAGGACTGCAGATGTGGCCAGGGCAATAAATTGCAATGTCCGTACTGTGAGACGCCTAAGACAGCGCTACAAGGAGACAGGACGGACAGCTGATCGTCCTCGCAGTGCACAGGATCGGTACATCCGAACATCACACCTGCAGACAGGTACAGGATGGCAACAACAACTGCCAGAGTTACACCAGGAACGCACAATCCCTCCATAAGTGCTCAGACTGTCCGCAATAGGCTGAGAGAGGCTGGACTGAGGGCTTGTAGGCCTGTTGTAAGGCAGGTCCTCACCAGACATCACCGGCAACAACGTCACCTATGGGCACAAACCCACCATCGCTGGACCAGACAGGACTGACAAAAAGTGCTCTTCACTGACGAGTCGCGGTTTTGTCTCACCAGGGGTGATGGTCGGATTCGCGTTTATTGTCGAAGGAATGAGCATTACACCGAGGCTTGTACTCTTGAGCGGGATCGATTTGGAGGTGGAGAGTCCGTAATGGTCTGGGGCGGTGTGTCACAGCATCATCGGACTGAGCTTGTCGTCATTGCAGGCAATCTCGCTGCTGTGCGTTACAGGGAAGACATCCTCCTCCCTCATGTGGTACCCTTCCTTGTAGGCTCATCCTGACATGACCCTCCAGCATGACAATGCCACCAGCCATACTGCTCGTTCTGTGCGTGATTTCCTGCAAGACAGGAATGTCAGTATTCTGACATGGCCAGCGAAGAGCCCGGATCTCAATCCCATTGAGCACGTCTGGGACCTGTTGGATCGGAGGGTGAGGGCTAAGGCCATTCCCCCCAGAAATGTCCGGGAACTTGCAGGTGCCTTGGTGGAAGAGTGGGGTAACATCTCACAGCAAGAACTGGCAAATCTGGTGCAGTCCATGAGGAGGAGATGCACTGCAGTACTTAAAGCAGCTGGTGGCCACACCAGATACTGACTGTTACTTTTGACCCCCCCCCCCCCCTTTGTTCAGGGACACATTATTACATTTCTGTTAGTCACATGTCTGTGGAACTTGTTCAGTTTATGTCTCAGCTGTTGAATCTTATGTTCATACAAATATTTACACATGTTAAGTTGCTTAAAATAAACACAGTTGACAGTGAGAGGACGTTTCTTTTTTTGCTGAGTTTATATGCAGGAAGCTTGTCTGATGCTTTAAGCGCACTGTTTGATTAAATAATTAAAAAGACACAAATGACTAGAGGGAGTCCAATCCCAATTAATTTGATTGTGCCGGGCTCAAACTTGCTGCGCTGTGTTAAAAAATAAATAGAGAATAGCACCCATTGTCTCTCTCCTACCTGCTGCAGCGACCACCACAGAACATCAACAGTGTTTATCGGACTGTCTGTGTTGCTGAAGCTGCAACATAATTAAAGCAATTTGACTGAAAGGTTCTGTTACCGAAATCCCTAATTTATTTAGGAAAAACATTCCCTATTCCCTCAACCCTTGCTCTCTTTACGTGACATGTATGCATCGAATGCACGTGACCAATAGGGCCTGACCTATAGCCTATGATAATCACGTCAATAAATTGGTTATAACAAACTCCAAACACCGTAACACATTGACAGCTAAATGGATGCAGAGAACGTGACAAATAAACTCGAAATAGGGGAATGTTTACTGGTTGCTCAGGAGGTAAAGGGAAAGTCAGATGTGTGACTAGTTGTGGAAAATACTGGAGATCAAGAAAAATAAGGTAAGGAGCAAGCGCTGCGTGCATATTATGTGTGCTAAACAAGTGCTGTATAGATTACGATATCATTTTTCGGACCGTTTGGAACAATGTTAATAACACAAAATAAATTAAGCGTACCAGTCTTTATTTTAATTTGATTTTTTTTGCATTTATTACAGCAAAGACTAAAAACATTCGCATTCATTTGTGAATGCAATTTTCGAAATGGAACCGTTTATTTATTGTTTATGCCAATTAGTCAAGGGTCACTGTTATTTTATTTTAAATCTAATGTTTGCTTGCATTTCAAATCATGAATGACTCCATATGCTGTGTGATGACATGAACGAATGAATGATTGATTGATTGATACAGTAGCCTATATAAAACTATTGAAATATACAGTGCATTCGGAAAGTATTCAGACCTCTTGACTTTTCCACATTTTGTTACATTACAGCCTTATTCTAAAATTGATTAAATTGTTTTTTCCTCATCAATCTACACACAATACCCAATAATGACAAAACAAAAAAAACAGGTTTTTAGATTTTTTTGCACATTTATAAAAAATAAGAAACTGAAATATCAAATTTACATAAGTATTCAGACCCTTTACTCAGTACTTTCTTGAAGCACCTTTGGCAGCGATTACAGCCTTGAGTCTTCTTGGTATTACGCTACAAGCTTGGCACACCTGTATTTGGGGAGTTTCTCCCATTCTTCTCTGCAGATCCTCTCAAGCTCTGTCAAATATCCCCACAGCATGATGCTGCCACCACCATGCTTCACCGTAGGGATGGTGCCAGGTTTCCTCCAGACGTGACGCTTGGCAGACTGGAGTGGAGTGGCTTCCGTCTGGCCACTACTATAAAGACCTGATTGGTGGAGTGCTGCAGAGATGGTTGTCCTTCTGGAAGGTTCTCCGATCTCCACAGAGGAACTCTGGAGCTCTGTCAGAGTGACCATCTGGTTCTTGGTCACCTACCTGACCAAGACCCTTCTCCACAGATTGCTCAGTTTGGCCGGGTGGCCAGCTCTAGGAAGAGGCCTGGTGGTTCCAAACTTCTTCCATTTAAGAATGATGGAGGCCACTGTGTTCTTGGGGACCTTCAATGCTGCAGAGTTTTTGGTACCCATCCCCAGATCTGTGCCTCGACACAATCCTGCTCTGAGCTCTACGGACAATTCCTTCAACCTCATGACTTGTTTTTTGCTCTGACATGCACTGTCAACTGTGGGACATTATATAGACAG